CCTCACCAGAATCGCCAATCGTTCAGTAACTTTGAATGTCATTTGCTTCTATGGAGTATTATCTAGGAAATCCCAGATACCAGAGCAGTAGAGACTAGAGGCCACGGAGCGACGCTTCATGAGCTATTACAAGATACCTCAGTTGTAGATATAGAAAACTGGAGCTGTCGTATGAGAACCAAATCAACAACGGAGGGTCGCGGACTGCAGAAGACGTATATCTGTACTCTTGCTACAGGCTGCAACAGAAAGACGACACTTTGAGCTTAGTTAAAGGCCAGAGGTACTAAGTGAGCTAACGGGATGGACGCTGGGCACCGTACAATGTTCCTGTGTGATTGCCTACTTGAATAAGCTAGCAAGCTACTTTATAGATAGATCGCACGGCGCATCCAGCGAGTATTGAAGACAAAAGCCCTGACATTAGTTTAGGAGCCCACAGGAACGTCATATGAGCCCCGGCACGTGCTCCTGTGGTTTCGTGTTGAGGGGTATAAGTAATCTTTGATAACGCAGAAATCTTTAATCTGGCCAAGCAAATGTAACTCAAACTCATCCCCCGGACTACTTGGCAAGTCAGATCCAACCCAGTGAGGCTTTTGTTCTAGATTTGAGACCCATACTGGAGAAGAGCTATATTGAGAAGGCAGTACATTCAGTAAGAATACGCTCTCAAATAACCGATGAAAGCACGGTGACTGGCGATGAAAAGCACCCAAAACCTCTCAAAATAAAACATGGCCAAGATCATGAGGCTCAAGGCCACACACGGCCGTTGGTCACGAAAACCTCTATGTTTCGCCACTGAGAGAAATGACTGGGATATGGGCCAGACAAGTTGTTGTTCAAGTCCAAATCGCCCAGTCCGCTGTGTGAATATATACTTGCATATTGCGACGGACTTATCCATCAGTCCAAGTCCGAGGGCGCAGAAATCTTCGCCTTTTCCGGCCACATCTCACTTGATAGGGCCAGCAACGCGTCAACGCATCAAAGGGCCAACGACTGAAGCTTAAAAGAGCGACCGGTTCAATTCTCGTGACACGCATGCAAATTGTGTCTCCGTGGGTATTCTGAAGAACACTAGGAACCTCTTTAAGCTATCTTTAAAGACGGGTCGCGGTTTGCTCTGGGCATCCTATCCGGATGGCACCACATAGGCAGACATTACAGACCGCATTGAATAAACTGTGTTCAACGAGAATACACCAAAGTAGACGATAATGGACGTCTGGTCGCATCTGTGACAGTTGTGATAGTAGATTGTGACTTCTTTTGATAGTCATAGTTCGCCTAGTTTTCCGATGCTTGATGAGGATCATGAGGTTGACATTCAAGCACAACGCAGCTACCAGGGGCCGTATTTGGTTTCCCTGCTTCAGCCAGACTGCAAGAGCCGACTTAAATATACGAACATCACTGCTTTCTATCATGTCGGTGTGTCTGTATAAATCCAGTCTCTCTCCTCCTCAAAGAAAGGGGGCCAATTCATCTTTCTCAGTTGGGTTGCTTACACTGAGGAACAACCCATTGCGCTTATACATACGTTCTAGTTCCCAAGATCGAGAACCAGCACCCTCCTCAGACGTGCGCGGACGTCGCTTCACCGAATACGCAGTCACATCATCTACAAGGGATGGCAGTGATCGACAACGATGAACTCTAGGATACTGCGATGATCGGCTTCTTATACTGACAGATGGAGGTCAGGGGTACACAGCTAGGCTCGTGGATTTCATGTATTGAGAAGAAAGCGCCGTGGCATTGGGGTGGATAGATTAGATTGTATTGGTCGATAAGTTCTCACTGCCATTGGTTTCTCTTATGTCCATGTAAGCTTCTCCCCATCTGTGGAACTGAGCACTGTTGGGGGAGATCATCACCGGGAAGACTCATGTAGGTCTCATATGAGTCTCTCGCAGTTGATCATGTATTGTCTCGACAGCTCAGTTGTCTTGATGTTTTATATTCATACTCTTATAGTCATGCGTAGGCACAAAAGCCACCCTCTTTTCATCCACTCCCTCCAGATTCAATCGCCTCACTGCTTCTTGGCAGCCTGCTCAGCCATAAACTTCTCATAATCCGCCTGCCTCTCGGGGCTGACCTTCATAAACGGAATGTCATCCTTCATCTCCTCGCCGTTGACCTCGACGGGCTTCGCAGGCTGCAGGCAGAAGATGACTCTTGCCCACTGATCTGTCGCGTTCTTCCAGCCGTGCATCGTCCCCCTCTGGATCATAATCTCGCCCTCCTTCAGCGTGCGCATCGCGCCGTCGTCGAGGTGGCACTCGACCTCGCCCTTGAGCACGATGCCGTAGTCAAGCGACTCGGTGCGGTGCATCATGGGCCCCGTGTGCGGGCCGAAGTCGACGACGCGCAGGACGCTGCCGGAGGGGAGGTGGAGCGTGGGCATGCGCGGGTGGTTGGCCGAGTAGGCCGTCAGGTCCTGTTCGCCGTCCATGTTGATTGGTTGGCCTGGGGTGGTGAAGCAGGTGTGGAAGTACATGTTGGGCAGCGGGTCCGGGGTGACGTGGACCGGGAAGGCGTCGGAGAAGACGGCGCGGCCTTGCTCGTTGTGGGTTGTGATGTGGCGAGAGACCGGGCCGAACGGCAGCTCGTCGGCGGACGGTGCGGGAGGGGCTCCGGAAGACGACATGGTTGCGGCAGTGCTTGTGCTCTTTTGATGAAGGTGCCAAGGCTTGAAGCTAGTATTCGGAGCTAAGACGCAGGGAGGGCGCAAGGTTCGGTGACAGGTCTGACGGGGAAGAAGCGTGGGTTGCGAGTGGATGGAGTGAAAGTGACGTGCGCCTCTAAGGGGTTCTTATTCTTCGAGATTGAAAGCTTCCTCGGTTGGTTCGGGGACAGAGAATCGTCTGATATGTTCAGCGAGAGAAGACTAATCAATGCCGTCCTCGGTTTCTTTGAGTTGCGATTGGAAGAAGGTGGGATGGGACGGAGGGGTCTTTTATGAAGGCAGCTGCAGGTTGTGCATATGCTACGGCCGTTGGCTTTCGCGGCGCACGGGACCTCGGGGGCAGTCGCCGACGCGGTGCGGTGTGTCTTCGCTCCTCCCTAGCCAGCTGGCACTGCTTTAGATCCAATGTGTGTCTTCATTGTTGTCCTCTCAGCTGACACAAGACGAATAGCTGCATCCTGCGCGTCTTGTTTGCCGCAGAAGTTTTGGAGATGGCCGCATGTCTCGTGCTTGGCTCAGCTCGACTGGCTGAAGTCGAGACGGAGGCTGGGAAAGGACAAGGTTCGTCTCGTCCAAGTGCTGACGCCACTCTGCTGCCCGCGCACTTTCAATGTGCAGAAGGAATTAGACCCCGAGCCTTGCAGTACCGCGGCGCACAAAAGTGAGGAGCCGTTAGCTCAGTGGCTGACTACCCCGCGGCAAGGTGCCGCCGCTATCTCAACATTTTTCTGGCGTTTTGGGAATTGGGATTCGACGTGCAGTCCGCGGCAGGGATGGCTTCACCAATGGTGAGGGGGAGCTCCTGTGAAACGGGTCATGGTTTCTGGAGCTGTCGCTTGGCGCTTGGGCGGCACTCTGTGATTGAGCTTCGGGGAAGCTAGCATGCGGCAGTGTTCTTTGATCGGGTCGGGGAGTCTTCAGCATATGGGGGAATAGACTTTGGGGTTCATATTGCTTCAGCTTGGCAGTGGATACGCGCTCCCCGATGAACCCGTCAGACCGGAGTTCGCGAGGAGTCGCATCGTTGGGACCGAGTCGAGCGACTCATGTCACCGGCGGTTGGCTCCGCCGGAGCTCATCTAACGGACCGGCACTATGTCCTGTTGTGTTATGAATGTTGTGCACACATTGTATTGTTTTCGAGCCAAGATGGTCCGAATTTCGACGGACTTTTGGATTGCGTGGAAGAAATTCTGCATTCAATTACACATTATCTGTGATCTGACGATGAAAATGGTCGAGAATTAGATGACATATGCCTGGCTGTCAGATATTGTGGTCCGGTTTGGCACAATCTGATCCGAACTTCGGGGAAGGCCCGACAGATTCTGGAACTGTTCCAAACAACGGCCTGCAACAGCTCGAGACATTGCCTCTCAAGACCGCCAACCTTTGGGCTCGACGACCCAAAAGCAATTTTCCCGAAAACGAGTGCCCCGTGTTGACTCGACATGCCCGGTGCCGGCAACCTCCCCGGCAAGATAGCTTTGCTGCTAATAACGGGGAGAGAGACCGGCGGGGACAGCCTTTGCCAGTGATTATCGCGGAGATGGACACCAAGATACAGCTCATAACCTTGACGGGGAGCAGGTGCGCCGAAATCGAATCGTATGCCTCTGAACGCTGTCCGAGAATCGAAGAAATCAGCGCCAGTGCTCAAGCTTCTGGGCTCAAGACGCGACTGGATGAAGAGCCCGTCATATCTGACGATATTGTCTAGACGTAAAGTCTGACGCGGACGAGACCGCCGGGGAGGGTTTAGACGACTGGGTGTCTTCGACGTCTTGAAATTGTCAGAAGACGACATCGCGCAATGAGGACGGTCTTGCGAGTTGTCAACGTTGTCTGGCCTGCCCCTCTGCGGTTATGCTGCAACAGCAACAGTGCAATATTCAGCTGACCATTCACCTCAACGACTGCCACAGCTCGCCGCGGTTGGGGCAGACAGGCCATAAACTCTCATTTCGTACTATATGAGACGCAAGATGAGATGACTTTGGTGGCAACCCATCGTCTGCACATGAAATATCGGGAGAGCAGGGGCAGCCGCACGCGCGTTCCTTCACACCGTTCTGTGGCACTGCAGAGCCAGTTTGATGCTCGAGAGACTCATGTCGGGGAGAAACCGTCGGCGACGTATCCCCGACACGGCGGCATGATAGCAGTCTTTGATTTTGCACAACTTCGGGAGCAATTCCTACTTGGTCGTGCCTCTGTCCTGGAGTCCTGGTCAACACATCGGCCAGAGGCGGTGATATTGGCCGAGAACGACAACGGAATTCTTCCCCGAGAGCAAGCTGATTCAAGCATTGCCCGTGTTGGCAACTTTACTTGCCCACCAAGGCTCCCAGTCAACGACCTTCTTGCCCGTCCTAGCCTCTTCTGCCGCGAAAACCATGGCGTGCGACCGGATTACTTCTTCCAGTGTGCACCCGATATACTCATTCTGCGCTCTTTCGGCGGTCCAACCGTGGTTCTTCACGCGGTCAACGGCCAAGATGAACTGGCGCGCAAGTCCCTTGTCACCGCCACCGTGTCCAGCGTCCTCAATCGTCGGGTGATAGGTTTGGGTGGTACCATTGTTGAAGTCTTCGATGGTGATGGTGCGGGAATCCGCGTAAATCTCGCCATCGACGCCATAAACGTGCGTGTATCTCTCGCAGATTTTCTTTGTGTGCGCAACCATATGGAGAGTAGCTGACTTGGAGAGCTTGGGCGCTTCAGATTCGGTCGCAACGTCGTCCCAGCTCATGGTCACCGTCTGTTCATCGCAAACGTTGTTGTCTGCATCAAACACACATCGGCCAAACCAGTTACGCGATGAGACAACCTCTTTCGGGGTCGAATCGTCATAGTCTTCCGCAAGCTTCGAAGCAAGCACCTTGTTTCGCTCGGAAGCGGTCCCGAAGTCCTCGATTTCGGGGAGCACAATGCTGACTGGCCAGTCAGTGTTCCCCGATGCCAAACCTTTGAGGTCTGGTCCAAGGTAGATATTCTTCGCCGAGTACTTGCATCCGCTGTCACCTAACGGGCAGGACAGACAATTGGTTGCGTTTCCTGCTGCTGCAGGTTTGCGGCTCTTTCTGAAAAGCTGAAGCGAGCCGTTTGAAGATACGGTGGACGGAAGATGAGGTGTCCCCTGGCCGGCCTTTATCGGGGCGCTGAGAAGCCAAAGGAGGAGATCAATATCGTGACAGCTTTTGGTTAGCAAACTTGGGGCAGTTGTTTTCTCGTTCCGCCAGTTGCCGCGGACGTAGGAGTGGGTAAAGTGCCACCAGCCCACCGGTTCTGTGTGGACGATGTTGAGAATGTCGCCAATGACACGTTCTTCCAGCAGCAACTTGCGAAGCAGCATGTTGTGTGGGCTGTAGCGGAGGACATGGCCGATGGAGAAGACATTTTTGGGTTCCTGGCCAGCAGGAGGTTTCAGCGCCGTGTACATGTCGAGACAGTCTTCCAGAGACGTTGCGAGAGGCTTCTCGCACATCACGTGCAGGCCGAGCGGAGCAACTCCAACCACGACGTCGCGGTGCATCTCATCCAGGACGCAAATGAAGATGGCATCGACTCCAGGCGGTACCGTCTCGCCGGCGGCTTCTCTCTCACGACGGTTCGTCTCGTATGAGACGAATTCGGTCCAATCCGCGAATTGTTGGCCTTCTTGTGGAGTACCAGAGCCCCAGATGTATCTCCGGCCGAATGTCTGGCGCTTATAAGCGATGGGCTCAGCAACGGCGGCCACGACACCGTTGCTGGATGTCTCTGTTGCTGTGGCATATGCCTGGCCTCTTGAGCCGGCACCGATGATGAGGATGCGCGGTGGGGAATCGGACATTGGAGGTTTCTCTGGCGGCACGATCGTTGGTGCTGCGGGCACCGCAACGGGCGAGCCCGACTTCTTGATGGATGACATTTTGGATTATTTGTCGAAGGACGCCAAGTAGCTCGACGGACACTGGTGCTGGAGGAGCTTGGTCCCTTGCCCTTGTGACTTCACGGATACTCTTTCAATCTCTGGTTTATGTAGCTGGCGCTGGATGGTGTAGTCTCCGATGTCGAGGAAACGAGGAAGGTACAACACAGTCACGATAGGTTAGGCAGATAAGCATGGATGAGTGAAGATGGGAAAGAGCAATGGCGGTTTACAGCAGTCGGATCCCATTGCCAAGCGGGGCGATCTGCAGCATCTGGCCAATCAACGATCTCGCATTTGAAGTGTCCGGTATCCGGGCCGGGCTTATCTTATCTATCGTTATCTTATCAGAGAAAGCGTAATAAGAAGCTACGCTCCGCGTTTGAGATGGCGGGGTGGCAGCTTCCCCCTCAAGCTCTGGCGGTGAGTCGGGAAGACCTGGCCTGGCATGAAAATGTCACTTTCAGTGGAAAGGTGCTGCCACCCGATCGCCAGATGCCTCGTGCGCCACCGTAGTGATGTAACGATGCGGGCAGCCACAATTGACCGTTTGGAGCTGTCCCGGTTCGACCCCACCTGCTGCAGTCCTTTCTACTCCTTACCTAGTGCTTCTCGGCCGAGCCTACCTTGCCTACCTACTGCAGAAAGAGATTTCGTGAATACCTTCAGGCCGTCTAAGTCACGCGAACAACTGGAAGCTAGGAATCTTACTTGAGAGAATCGGTCAGCAGCAACCACCATGGACTTTCTCAAACCCAGAGCGCCCGCACCCAAGATGCAGTCCGCATCAGACGGTCCTCTTGTCTGGATCGACTGTGAGGTGAGTCTGACCAGTCTGAAGGAATAGAGCCCGGCTAACACAACTCTAAGATGACCGGCTTGGACCCGGACAAGGAGGAAATCATTGAGATCTTCTGCATCATCACAACTGGCAACCTAGAAGTCGTTGACCCCGAGGGCTGGGGCTGCGTGGTTCACCAGTCAGAAGAACGCATGGCACAGATGGACGACTGGTGCACCAAGACGCACGGAAACAGCGGCTTGACCGCGGCGGTTATCAAGTCGACAACGACGCCGGAGCAAGCGGCGGACGAGCTTCTGGCGTACGTCAAGCGGCACGTCCCGGAGAAACGGACGGCGCTACTAGCCGGCAACAGCGTGCATGCTGACCGGTCATTCCTGGTCAAGGAGCCGTACCGGAAGGTCATGGACCACCTTCACTACCGCATCTTGGACGTGAGTTCCATTAAGGAGGCGGCGAAACGGTGGGCCCCGACACAGGTGTTGGATAACGTGCCTGTCAAGCAGGGGCTGCACCAGGCCAAGGAGGACATCCTCGAGAGCATTGCCGAAGCCAAGTACTACAGGGAGGCCATTTTTGGATTGACATGGAGACGGGGTGACGGCAGCGCCCAGGAGACACCGTTGACCGAGACGGACGAGGACGAGGCTTGGGCAGACAACCTGCTGTAGACGATGCACTTGCTTGATGAATATCAAAGTTGAGCCGTATGAATCGAGGTGGCCCCTTGAGTGCAAGTAGATGATGAACCAACCAACACCTACACACACACACTAGGAGTTCGAATGACAGTAAGCCAACTGGATGAATACTGTATCGCCAGCTAAATTGAGACTGCACCAAACAGTGCGTTAACACGAGCTTCCCAGCCCCGCACTGATTCGCCAGCATTCCCTGCGCTGAGGCGGTATGCGATGCCCCTGGCGGGGTGAGGGGCCTCTCAGCAGAGCTGCCCCTCCTTTGCTGGAAGCGACCCCCCCCACGTCGACGCTGAGAATGATATCACTGGCCAAGCACCAGTCGTGAACCCCCACCATCCAGCAAAATCGATCCTGGCCTATCGTATCGCACTATCGATTCACTGTTGCTGCCACTCACCTGCCTCACCGCAGCAAGCTTTCAGGCCAGCGCCCCTCATTCACCTGGACCGGCCATGGCCCCCTGGTCGGCTCTGGTCTGGCCCAGTCAATTCGAGTTGCCGTACCTACGCTCAACCCATACCTAGGTACCTACAAAGACAACCTAAACCTCAACAACCTCCTTTTTCCTCCTTCATCTCGTCCTCCTTCAGCACCATCGTTAAGTGGCATTGCATATCATCATGGACGTTCAGACTGTCGAGTTCAAGCCCTTCCAGGACCAGAAGCCCGGAACGTACGTATCCCAAGCAAGAAAAGTTCCCCTCTGACGTTCTTCCCAACGCCAATCACCCCAACTTTTCTACCCCGCCATAGCTTCCACCTCACGCGCTGCATCCTCGATCGAGACGCACCGCTGACAATGCCATAGTTCTGGTCTTCGCAAGAAGGTCACTGTTTTCCAGCAGCCTCACTACAGCGAGGCTTTCGTCACGAGCATTCTGCTTTCCATCCCCGAGGGTGTCGAGGGTAAACAAACCCCCACGCGTCGTGACGCCTACCGAAACTGACTGACCGCCTCCGCAGGCTCTTTCCTCGTCATCGGTGGTGACGGTCGCTTCTGGAACCCCGAGGTCGTCCAATTGATTGCCAAGATTGGTGCCGCCTACGGTGTCAAGAAGCTCCTTATCGGCCAGAACGGTATTCTGTCCACTCCCGCCGCCAGCCATGTCATCCGCAAGCGCAAGGCCACCGGTGGTATCCTCCTGACGGCCAGCCACAACCCCGGCGGTAAGAGCACACTCCCTTTCAATCCATCTGCCACAAGCTAAGATATCTCCAACAGGTCCCAAGAACGACTTCGGCATCAAGTACAACCTTGCCAACGGTGGCCCTGCCCCCGAGTCCGTCACCAACAAGATTTACGAGGCGTCCAAGACCCTCACTTCCTACAAGATCGCCTCCATCCCCGATGTCGACATCGCCACCATTGGCACTAAGACCTACGGTTCCCTCGAGGTCGAGATCGTTGATAGCACCACCGACTACGTCGAGATGCTCAAGGACATTTTCGACTTCGACCTCATCCGCAACTTCTTCCGGACCCACCCCGACTTCAAGGTTCTGTTCGACGGTCTGCACGGTGTCACTGGCCCCTACGGTACCGCCATCTTCGAGAAGGAGCTTGGCCTCAAGGGCGCCACCCAGAACTGTGTTCCCAGCCCCGACTTCAATGGCGGCCACCCCGACCCCAACCTCACCTACGCCCATTCCCTCGTTGAGGTCGTCGACAAGAACAACATTCCCTTCGGCGCTGCCTCTGACGGCGATGGTGACCGCAACATGATCTACGGCGCCAACGCCTTCGTCTCCCCTGGTGACTCCCTGGCCATCATCGCCCACCACGCCCAGCTGATCCCTTACTTCAAGAAGAACGGCGTCTTCGGCCTCGCCCGTTCCATGCCCACCTCCGGCGCCGTTGACCTGGTCGCCAAGAAGCAGGGCCTCAACTGCTACGAGGTCCCCACTGGCTGGAAGTTCTTCTGCGCCCTCTTCGACGCCGACAAGCTGTCCATCTGCGGTGAGGAGTCTTTCGGTACTGGTAGCAACCACATCCGCGAGAAGGACGGTCTCTGGGCCGTTGTCGCCTGGTTGAACATCATTGCCGGTATCGGCGCCCAGAACCCCGATGTCCCCCCCTCCATCAAGAAGATCCAGCAGGACTTCTGGACCGAGTACGGCCGCACCTTCTTCACCCGTTACGACTACGAGGATGTCGACAGCGAGGGCGCCAACAAGGTTGTCGGTGTCCTGAAGGACCTCGTTGCCGACCCCAACTTCATCGGCAGCAAGGTCGGAGGTATGTTTCAGTCCCTACATGATGTCCAGAACACGCAGCTAATATGTACAGACCGCACCGTCACCGGCGCCGGCAACTTCTCCTACACCGACCTCGACGGCTCCGTCTCCTCCAACCAGGGTCTGTACGCCACCTTCTCCTCGGGCAGCCGCATCATTGTCCGTCTCTCTGGAACCGGCTCCTCCGGCGCCACCATCCGCCTGTACCTCGAGCAGCACAGCAGCGACCCCGCCACCTACGACCAGGACGCTCAGGACTTCCTCAAGCCCGAGATCAAGATGGCCACGGACCTGCTCAAGTTCAAGGAGTTCATCGGCCGTGACGAGCCTGATGTCAAGACATAAGCGCATGCAAGTTGCTGTATGATGGGGAACGAAGATAAAACAAAAGCAGGAGGAGCAAAAAGGTGCGCTTCAGTATAGAGAAGCCCAGCATTGGTTTGCTGTGGATGATGTTACGATGGTACACGACAGCATAAATTGAATCAAATCAACCTAATAATTGCATGCTACTTCACACATTGTAGGACCTTTGCGGAATGACGCATTGTTCAATTGCTCAATTGCGCAACTCGCGTTTAATTTCTCTTGTTGTATACTTTTCAAAGTTCATTATCATAAGCCATGCGTCATCAAAGATTGCGGAACAGTTACAGAAGATGACAGAGAGACATGAAAGAGAGGGTCTCTTTGGAAAAGAGGACCAAGAAGAGTAAAGAGAAAAATAGAAAAAGAAAGAAAGGCAGTGACAGTCAAAACGCAATGCAAGAGAGAAACGCTTCGCTGATGTTATGCCGCAATAAAGAAGAAGCATGTTAACGAAATGAAGTCAGATCAAAACAACATCACAATCATGTCAATCTTCCCAGGGTATCTCCGTCAAGTCCAAACTTTTCCAGACCCAACAAGACAAAACGTATGCGAAGGGGTGAGGGAGGGAGATGGATGACCGGTTTCGAATAGCAAGGCGGTCTGCGCGCGGACAGCCGTAGAACACCAAAGAATTCCCTAGGTGAAGTGGATTTCCAGGGGCCTGATCCACGATTATTCCTGGAAATGGCCAGCCGGCGTGTGGGACGGGAGGTAGGGAGGTAACGTGGGTACAGTGGGATACGAAGCAGCTCCACCACGGGGAATCGGGGACCACGGCTGGAGTTTGTGTGGAGTATCGGGGCTGGTCGGGCGGCGAGGTATTGATCGGTGGTGGAATATTGGGCCGGTCCTTCGTCAGTCGAGCTTCGGCTCGGTACTTCGCACGCGCGACTACTTCGCATCCTCGATCGCCTCCATCGAAACTTCAGATGTGTCTTCAGGTGCGGGAGCAAAGACTTCGCGGAACCGTTTGGCCCCCTCGTCGGAGACAAAGTTGATCTCGAATGCGCCAGCCTGTCCCTTTCTTTGGTTCTGTTGGCGGTATCGGTGGCAGAAGACGTAGAGCTGGACGTCTTTGAGCCAGACGCGGTGATTGGATTTGCGCTGGAGCCAGGTCGGAGACGCAGACTGATGGGTTACTGAAGATTGTCAGTCGAGGTTAAAACAACAGTGGTGGGGCGAGGACAGAGGGGTTTTTAATAACTCCAGAGCGGACCCGGAACAGGAACTAGAAAGGGGGGTTATATAGAGACGGAGGGCGCACCGAAGGCCGTCCAGACTGGGCATTGGCGGAGTTCGCCCTCCCAAACGGCGGCATGCAGGCGGAGGCCCTTGGTTCCGGAGTCACGATAGACTATCAAAGAGTGTTTGAAGCCATCGTCAATAATTTGGCTGGATATAGACGTTAGTTTTGACGTACATGAGACCGGGGGATTGATGCAGCCTTACGCCTGGAAGAGTCTCTCCTCGCCTTTAAGCTTGAACTCTCTCGCGTTCATGTCGATTGTAAGGGCGTTCCTGGTTTTCAAGGAGACGAACGTGCAATGGAATAAGACCAGTTCTAACGCACTTCAGATGCAAGCCACCAAGCCTGGTGAAACTTTGACAGCGGCTTACCTTCCCAAGTCTTGAAGCTCAGCCCAGCCCACAACTTCGGCATTCGGTCCACCTGACTCCACCGATTAAGATGCAGGGCGTTACTGTGTTCCCGGTGGATGACAAGCTCGTGGGTTCCACGGAGGCTGAACCATGGTGCACCCTGGTGGAATGTCCGAAGAAGGATATAAGGTGTCTGATTCACCAAATTAAGGTACATCATGAGACAGAGACGGTCGTCGTCAAACGGTCTAACGAGAGTAAGTATGGCTCATGCGTTGGGGCGATCTGTTACCGTACCGCCTGAAGAGCATCTTAGTCTCCTTCGGGATATTGAGTTGGCCCCATGCTACAAACTGGCCGCGAGCTTCCGACGGCCTGTTGTGCTTCAGTGCCGTCCGAGAAGGTAGCGGGAGCGAGAAGATCTGTTCAGCCCAGTGCGCATTCTAGAGTCCCAGTCAGCAGAATATCGATCCACTATTGGGTGACGTACGGGATCTTGGAGCGTCGGCAGGATCATCACTTCTGGTCTGAGAACGGGACCGACCTGTGTGGACGGAGTGGCTGGTTGAACGTCAGCGAGATGAAACTTGAAATTAAACCCAAACATTTGCGTACGAAGACCCCGCGCTTCTCGAAGTCCAATAATCCGTGTTCGCAGGCTCTCCAAGCCGTTGAGGTCGAAATGTGGCGACCTATACTCTTGTCAATATATCCCCACAGGAGGCACCCTCCACAGACTGTGGTTTACCTTATGAGGAGTTGCTTCAAACTGGTCAAAAAATGGTTATAAAGCAGAAAGCGTTGGGGCAAGGGCAGCCCGCCAACTTCTTGTGTCATCGTATGGTACATCTTCCGCCATCGCATTTCCTTGCTCAGCGTCCGGGTCTCATAAAAGTTGATGATGTCGCGGAGGGTCCTGGACAGACACGGAAGAACAATGTTAAGGTAGTTGAGTAGTATTGGCACTCGGTTGAAATGCATCTGGGATAGATCGGCCAGGTCTCGGAGAACCCTTGCACTGCTCCGCATCTCCTCGACAAGCATGGCGAGATGGCCGCCGTAGGTCTCCGGTAGCGCCTGGCGAAGACCTTCAAGATGCACTGACACCATATCGGCGCGCTCGGCCTCGAGGCAGCATCCTCGAAGGAGATGGAAGTCGGCTTTCTGTAGGCTCAGCTCCATTTTAGGCGGATTCGGCGGCGTCCTCGACTGGAATGGGTGATGATGATGCGGTTCACGTCCTCATCGCTCGGGAGATTCCTCAATCGTCGGTGCAAAGCCTAGCTGGTGCTTAACCTTTGTGTGTTGTAGTAATTCCTTGCGTAGGCGTTGTCAACAATGCTGGCATGTAGCCCGAAAAGTTGACGAAAGCGATACTGAGCAGCTCACAAGATCTGACGATATATCGTCCTGGAATAGCGACGGACAAAACAGTGGTAAGAGAAGAGGAGTAAGAGGAGACGACCCGCTTCCTGTGCTCGGCATGATCTTCCTCTGGTGGTAATGTGTGGCCACAACGGTAGGCGCTCGCTCAATGGGTGGAAAGCGGCTGCAATTGCGATTCGGGGGTGCAGGTCTCGATTTTGGCGGCCAACCCGGAAACACACGCCACCACACCCTGCCAGACTCCGAATTCAGTCCTCCCTTTTTGTTTCTGTGTTGGCAGTACGAGCGAACCCAAACACCAACACAGGCTGATCACATCTGACGTGTCGAGTGTTCCGTGGTTGGCGAGCACTGGTGTTGTTTATGAAGAAGGCCGCGTCGAGTCGATTGAAGATTGGCTATGCCTTGTCGTCGGGTCTCAATGGCGGTTGCGCCTATGCCTGGAGCTGAACGGGTGCAAGCTGGTTGAAGTTGAGTTTGGCATTCGGTGGTCTGCACTGACTTCACCGCCAACGGCGTTCGGTTGTATGTCAATCACTGCGGAGCACCGAGTCAACTGACCGATGCATGCGCCGAATATATCAAGGTGGAACCACAAAAACACACCGGAACCGAATGGACCGACGATCCAAAAGGTGGTAGCAGAGGCTCTGTAGGAAACTCTGAAGAAGGAGACCGAAAGATAGGGAAAGAAAGAAGGGCACATCTGTCAGATTGCTGCCAAAGCAGAATGTGTGGGCTCGACACATATTGACCTGACGACCGACTAGCCAGAGCATGCCACGACTGCTGAGGATGACCCCATGGACCTGTATGCTTCCCCCTCTGCATGCATTACCGTATAGACTCAAATCATTGAGAATCTGCACCCCCCTGCCAACCTACTTACCCACACCACTTCAAGCCCTTCCTCTACGCCACATACACCACCTACTTTAACGCTTTTAGTAAGTAGTGAATACCTTCTTAATTATCTTTTTTTGCTATTTTAACTGATACTATTGTTAGCGATATTCCCTATAGTCTTTTAGTGTTAAAATAGACCTATCTACGTATATACTGCTTACTGAGATTAATATTAATATTACTATATTATTAGTAACCCCTCTTAAGTAGTTAGGCCCTCTAGTAGTAGAGATTAAGGTATTACTATATAAGCTATTACTACGTAGGCTAATTAATCGTATTAAGAGAATATATTTATATAAGAAAAAACGTAAGGTATTAATATTTCTCTAATACTACTATATTAAGAGAGATATCCTTATATTAACTACTTAGAAGATATACCTCTAAGGTAGCTAAAAGTAGACTAAAGGTACCTACTACTAGCCTACTTATTAAGATACCTTAAATTAGTTTAAGATCTCTTATAGTATTATTAGTAGGTAGTATATAAACTAGAAGAAGATCTTTAACCTTAAGAGGTATTACTATACGTATAAGCCTTATTACTATAAACTTAAAGAAGCCTTCTATACTAACTTCTCTACTTAATATTAAGTAAATAAAGTTATTACTACTAGCTAGTTTTAGCACTATATAAAGGAGCTTTTTTAGTAGATATATAAGCTACTACTTAAGGTTAATAAGAATAGTATTATACTACTACTGCTACTACTGATTAGTTACCTCTTTACCTTCTTATTAAGCTAGTTTTTAGGCTTCTAATAGCATTTTAATATTACTAATTACTATATTACTAAGTAGGTATTAAAGTTACCTGCTAAGTACCTCAAAATTATTAATAACTTCTTATGCTTCTACTAGCGTATTAACTAGCCCTACCTCTATAAACTACTCTACTCTAAGTATAAGCCTAAATTTAACCTATTAACTAGGTTGCTATCTTACTACTACACCTTTACTAATATTATAAACTTTAATAAGATACTAATCCCCTAGAAGTATAGCTCTAAGTTAATATAGGTAGATAGTAGTAATAAGACTGTAGCTAGTAAGACTAACTATAGTAGTTAGGATAAGTAATAAGCTATTTTAATCCTATATATCTATACTAATAGTATATAACGCCTTAAACTTAAGCTGATTTTTTATAGTACTCCTACTTAATTAAGTAGTAAGATTAAGGCCTCTAAGGGCTACCTCTACTGCTTTAATATTACTATTAAGTTTAATAAGACTACTTATAATAATAAGATTCTATTTAATTAATAGATTAATAAAAAGTATATACCTACCCTCTATAATAGGGAGAGTCTTCTAATTATAAATATTACTACTTTTTATAAAATACCTTATATTATAAGTAAACTTAAAGATCTAAATATTATGCTAGTATTAATCCCCCTAAGCTATATAAGTCTCCTCTAACCTCTTAATACTGCTATTAATAAACCTTTTAAAGAGTGGCTTTAAGAGGCTATTAATAACTATATTAATAACTTTAAATCTTAGTATATAGCTACTAGTAAGACCTTTAAGTAGGATATTAATATAAAGAGAGTTATAACTACTTATACTATTACTACTGCTATAAAAAGGCTAATAGAGAGGGGAGAGATAATTTAGAAAGCTTTCTATAAGTATAATATATCCTTATAGCTAGATAATAGCTAAAATAATATAATTAAGATTAAGGATATCTTAGCTAGTAGTGTTAACTTTATAGGCTGGGATACTATTAATTTTAATATATATATTAAAAAAGAAGCTACTAATAAAGAGCTTTTAGACTTTTATAATTAGTTTAATAACTTATAGTATATTATAGAGGTAGAAGATATTAAGGGTGGCATCTTTAGTATATTAAAAGCCTCTATACTTATTAATTAACTATGCTATTAATTAGTATACTTAGCTTATCTTTCTAGAAGAAGAACCCCTCTACTTCCTGCTACTTATATTTAATATAGAGTCTTTTATCCTATTTATACTAATGCTTATTTAGCTATTTAATAAATATAATAATAATATATTTAGCTAGTAGGGTAAGCTTAATAATACCTTAACTATACTTTCTAACCTAGTTAAAGTACTAGTTATTATTAGCCTCACTAGCTTTATTTTTAGTTATTAGAGAGACCCTTATAGGTATATTAGGAGAGGAGGGTTTTTAGAAGATAAGGTAGTATTATTACTATACCTTAAAGTAGGAAAAATTAAGGTAGTTATTAGTTATAACTTATTAATTAGTATATCTCTATTATAGCTAAATATAGCCTTTTTTAAATACTTATAGATAAGGTTAATTAGGCTATAGTCCTCTATTTTTAACGTAATATATAAAAGTATAAAAAAAGCGTAATTTTAGCTATATATACTAACGCTATAAGTCTTAGATTCTACTGTTTTCACTACCGCTAGCCCTAACTTAACCTCTCTGCTAGCCCCTGCCACCCCCCCTACTACCCCCTAGCAGGCCTCCACAGCCCTCCTACAGCTGGCTAATCGGTCAAGTTAGGCAGGGGGGTGCGGATTCTCGATGATTTGAGTCTATACGGTAGACGTCCAAGACGGTGCGATGGACGAATGAGGCCGGGCCGGAGCCGGCGGGGTTCAGGCTTGGGCGACTAGCACTTGCATAAACTGGATAACGCAGATGAACACTTGCTTCTGGCAGAGACCTTCCAGGCATCGAAGGAAATTGGCTTATGGCCGGCATCTCGTCGAAGGAAAAAAGCGACTGGCTGAGGGTTCCCATGTATGCACCCTGCGCCGAAGAGCTCGTCAAGAATGAAGCGTAGGGGCGTAAAAGCGAAATAGCACAGCGTCGCATTGCTATCGTGCCCACTTTGATCATCGCTAGCGGTGCATCCAAATGTACGGGGTTGAGTGTCGCAGACGCAACCCTGGAGACGAACAGATCGTGGTAGGGCAAGTATCGTGGCAGCCGACAGCCGAGTAATGACATATGCATGGTCAGATGCAGCACGATGCCATATCCTTCCACATTGGTCTGGTCGTTGATGCACTATGACTTTTGTCATCCCCGCAAATGCATGCGATGTGGCATCCGTCGCTTCTTCATTCGCACCGTTCGCGCAGGGTGCAATGCGCAGAGCCTCCTTCCCAGCGAGGCGAGGTAGTTCTGTCTGGTGCGCAAGACGGGATGACAGGACAACCTGACGGAACCTGACAGAGCCCTCCCTGGTGCAAGGAGCTGCACCATATCGACTGGTTCATCTCATGAAGAAATGCCCGCCACCAGGAGTGGGCGAGATGCTTTTGCATGTGGCGACGGTTGGCTGACGAAGCAGATCGGCGCAGACATCATCTATCACCATGCTAGGAGAAGCAGGCTGTCGAGACTCGAATGCTCCGCTGACCCGCGACACATGGTCGATGGAGATGCACGGTACCATTACGTGGGGATGTGAGGTTCGCGAAAGATGAACGGAGAGGTTCTATTGCGGATGCTGCTGGCTTATGAAGGTCGAGAATGAACCTTGGAAGGAAGCGAGGGAAAGGCAGTAGTAACCTGACCAGAATCAGGCATCCATCTCCGGTCCTGAATTTCGCCGGGAAGGCAGGAGGGGGCCAGCCTCCATTGACTCCTGCCTTCTACTGCGACGAGATAATAGATGCAGGAACCTCAGTGAAGGGACCGGCTCCCTCCCATCTTGCAGTGTCTCAACACACCGAGACCACCCTGGTCCCGGCAATGGATCGGACGGGAAAGTGTGGAGATTTTGTTGCACCGTTTTCGGGGGTTGCTAGTTTTCTTACCTAATCGGCAGCCACACAAGCCTACCGGCTCACCACCATCTCGCCTTGAACTTCCAGTCGCGGCACCCGCTCCATGGCTCCCGATGCCGCCTCGCCAGACACGGGCCACACAAGCCGCCCAAGTCGGCCCAAGGCCCCCGGACGGCACGGCAGGTCGACCCCGGCCGCGTGCACTCTGCATTAGTGTCGACAGGCCGATCCCAGCCGCCGTTCGCTGGCTTGCGTGCCTCCCCCCTTCACCCCCACGATACGGTGCCCTGGCAATTAAGAGGATCAGGACATTTTGACTGGTTGACCGAAAATAGGGCCTGGACGTCCAGATCCTTGGGTCCGGGGAAGCGACCCTTCATTCAGTGAGCACGGTGCATCGACCGATGGCTTATACACAACTTATTTGCTTTGGTGCAGCAGTGCGATTCGGAACGACGAAGCCAAGCCACTTGATACTTGTACAGGAGTTCTCAAATCAAGATAATCGTCATCTCATTGTGGCTCCGTTACCAGATGCGGTAACATTCGAGTGACGCTCGAGAGCCTTCCCTGCCCCAAAACCATTTAAAGATAACCCATAACGGGCCATTCCACCATTGAACGCCGCGGACCGAGATACAACAGAAACAACGAATACCTTAAGAAGACTCATCCTCCTCCTGGTCGGCCTTCAGTAGGACTAATTAGCTTCAGCACAACACATCAAGGGAGGTGCATGGGGGTTAGCTTACGTTGTAGGCCTGCTTCTCGTCCTCGTAGCGCTTCTTGTCGGCGGCAGCCTTGGCCTCGTACGGGGCGCGCTGCTTGTCGTTGAGGGCCTTCCAGCGCTCACCGAGGATCTTGCCGACCTGTCCGAACGAGATACCGGGGTTCTCCTCACGGACGTTCTCACGCTGCTCATTGGCGAAGAACATGTAGGCGGAGAGGCCACGCTTGGGGGCGTTGGGGTCTGGAACAGTGTTAGACATAATCTGGTGAGTAGAGCAGAGACGACTGCTACACTGCGTCGTTTGGCTTCGCGGGGGCATGGCTAACGGCCGAGAACATTCGTTGGGCAGTCTTTCAAATGCCTTGGAGATGTTCAAGGCCGTGGTAGCCAAACACCCGAGTAACTTGTCGACGAGACCGCAGTTGACTAAACGGGAGAACATAGACGTACCCTTCTTGCCGCGCTTCTTCTCGACCTTGCCGGCCGCGCCACGCTTGGTTGCTGCCTTAGGCATATTGTCTATGAGAAAGCGATTAGTTTTACTGAATGGCAGGTATTTGACATAGAGCGTGATTTCAAAAGGAAGTGGGTTGTATGGTGTGAAGGGCTGGTGGCATTGCGCCGCGCACTGAGCAAGGCAGCGTTACGCGATGGTGCGGATCCCAAGGCGCGGGTGGTGATGGGTCGCAAGTGCAATTGCGGTCGGCAACGCGCCATAATTGACATTTGAAGCTCAAAGTCGTAGTAAAGAGACCGTGATGCATACCTGAGCGGGTTTTTAAGAGATTTGAGAGGGTGTTGTGGAATTCGGGGTCTGACGCGTCAAGCTTCGTTAGCTGTCAAGCTTCCTTTAGGTGAAGTTGAGGAAGATGGTTGAGGTGCGAAGAAAGATCGCGAAGGGGATGCACGCTCCAAAGTCGCCCAGCAAGCCAAAGGATTTTGACTTTGAGTAAAAGTAGAGATGCGCAATATAATTGCGAAAATAACTTTTGGGCGTCGGCAGATATTGAGGGTATTGGATATTGGCGTGATGCAGAGGTGCAAGGTGGATTGGGAGTGCGATAAGTACTCACAAGTAAGGTGCGCAAAGGCTGGTCGTATGTGTGTATTGCGAGAGAGTGGTTTGTATGGGAGGAGGATTTGGGTGGGAGATTTGTATGGGAAAAAGAAGAGGGAGGGAAACGTATGGGGGAGGGCCAAGCAGCCTTTTTACTATGGGGGAGTGATTGTGCGGCAGCAACGCGCCTTTCGCACTTGTTTTTGCTGGGAAGCCTGGGACTCTGCGGTCGACTGCGACTGGGGGGGTAAGGACGAGGGGTGGCACTGTGGGAAGGGGAAGGGGGCCACCTTGGTCCTGCTTGGTCTGGCGGCCTTGGGCTGGGCTAGTTCTGGCTGCTGAATGGGTGCAGCAGGCGAAAACTGGACTGCGCACTGGCGCACTGGGCAAAGGACTGTAGCAGCCGGGAGAAAATACTGGGAGGTGTGACTGGGCACTCGCGGAAAAGGAGGAGCGAAAGGCAAGAGAGAGGAGAAGGACCGTGGAAACAGCAAGAGCAGAATGGGTGGGCGCGGCTTCCCTCCCTGAACTGCGAGGGCGAGGACTGACGCGGGCGGGAGGTGAGGTAGGAGACCAGCCAGAGGAGTCCAGAGTCCCCTTCCCTTCCTTCCCCCATCCTCCACCACCCATTTTACCCATCACCCCCTCCAGCAAGTAGGTGCAAGTGCAAGCAAGTCAGTCTACCTGCCGTGTCAGTACCTACTGTCTACATAGTAAAAGCGCGCAGTATCCGTCAGGAAGGCACGGTATGGTGGGAAGGTGCGGGTAGTGTATCATGTACCTCCCGGCCGACAAGACCAGGGAAGGTACCTCACGTTCCTCCCACCTACCCTTCCTTTCCTACCTTACCCCTTCCTCCTACCGTCAGGGAAAGGCGGGGGACCGTCAATCAGCTTGCTGCTGCTCTTGCGCCATGTATCGTCTGGCCTTGGCTAGTACGGGAAGGGACCTTGCGCCTACCTCTGCTTGGTACGCGGTGTGTGACCGCACGCAACCAGTACGTTGTAGGTTGGCCACACCAGACATGGCATGGCCTGGCGTGGGCACGCGCAGAGACAGGTAGGACGCAGGCATGGGCAACAAAATCGGCAGTCGCAGCGAGAAGCGGTAATGGGAGAGCAACAGCAAGAGCGACAGCAGCCAGGCACTGGCAAGTGGCAGCTGTGCCTTGTGCCGCCTCACCTTCCTTCCTTGCCTTGCTTTGCTTTGCTTTCCATTGCTTGCTGCTGCCACCTGAGGTGCGTTGCGTGCGTTGCCTTGCCTCACGTCGCCGCCATCTTCCACTCTTCTTTCCGTCCCGTCTTTCCTGCCCATCCATTTGTACCTGACCTTATCCTCTCCTCGCACCTGGCACCTCCTTGCTCTCCTGCCGCGTTCTATTGCCAGTCGCTGCTATAAATGTGTGGTACTGTACAGGTACAAAGCGCGCGCGAAACTCCGCACCAAAGTACTGCACTTGCGCTTTGTACCTCCCGCCTCGGAATGGGTTTCGCACTGGCTACGGAGGTACTTTGTCGCGCCTTCTCTTTGCCTCCGGCCAATGTACCTATCTCTTCTCTCCATGTCTGTCCGTCCGTCTGCCAGGCATCCCGCCTTCCTTGCACGCAACACCGGCCTTTCGACTTTCGACGTGCTTTTTATGTTCCCTCGCTTTTAGATCCGGATTCTGGCTGGCTGCGGTGGTTCAGTGTTCTGCCATTGACCCCACCTGCCGCCGCCTTCCGTCACCTGCGCTGCGCTGCACCAGGCACAAACCACAATATTCCATCCACACAGACCATCCCAGGTACCTTAGCTTCCACTTCCACTTCCAGCTCCAGCTCCTAGAGCTCCAATTCCCATCCCGCAGCCCGCAGCCACCGGACAGTCTTTTCAATTTTGTGCTGCTGTGATTTCAGTGTTTACCTGGTCTCGTCCGATCCACTTTGCTGTGGATGAGGAGCTGTTGCATCGCTGGCTCTGAGTCGTTGGCACGCGAACATATTGCGTATGCGTAGGAAGGCCCTCGCAGACACGGACAACTTTGCCTGAGGCTTCGTTTGCGCGTACGGTTCCAGGTCGTCCACTCCACTTACACGGATCAGCACCCGCGATTTCTTTGGCTGTCACTCACAATTCTTGCTCTTCGCTCCTCTGCATCACTTAAAACAGCCGGCTCCTCTCTCGCAACCCGGACACAATGCCCAGAAACTTCTGCGCCAGTCCATGTTACTTGCACCCTCCTCTACGGATACCTCACCTGGTCGAGTTGCAGTCCAGCTCCCTCCCTCAACCAAGCAAGCCATGGACCATACCATGGCAGCGTACCGTACGGATTCCTTACCTCTTGTTGCGGATACGGACACCTCCAGGCCGAAAGCACGCGCAGTGACACGCCTACCACCACTGACTGAACCAGGACTCGGCCAGGCATAATCATTTCCTCTTCTTCACCGGCGCTAAGGCTGCCCCCCTACCACCAATTGGCTTGCTGATAGGCAGGTTGGCCCAGCTTGCAAGTCGCCTTGCCGCCGCAGGTCCCTTGCTCCTAGACCAAGGGAAATCAGCAGAGTCCGCGTCGCGCAGGCCAGAGAAGGCGGGACTCGGAGGTGGTTGCCAGGACCCAGAAATCAATAATCAGCGACAGGCTTCGCCTCAACCCCTGCTGTACCGTCCCTCTACACTCAGCTCTCGTCCCTTCTCACTGTACTGGGACAAGGTCATTCGGCTAATGTGAGCAGTGTCTTCCTGGCACTCAACGAGACTGCATCTCATGTGTTAAATTTTGGGACTGCGTCACTTACAAAGACCCTATCAACGCAAACTTTGAATACGACAGACCGCACGTATACGACAAGGGGACCAGATTTGTTCCTATCTGCTGGGGCTGTGGATGCTGGTGACCTCATGCTCAGAGGCTTTCTCCATTTAGCGTCATCTGTCGACAAGCTTCGCAGCATTCGGATATCCTCACCAAAAAACACCAAGACCTACTACTACCAACTAGCTTGAGCTGGTCTGGTGTGTGAGGTGAGGAAACAGATGGGGCACCACCTCTGGGTACTCTTGGATGACTGCAAAGTCGTCGCATTGGAGACAAGACACCCTGCGCGCACACACTGTGTCTGGACGTCGCTGCGCAATCTCGCCCACACTAAAACATCACTCGACACACTTTGTCCATTCCCCCTCCTTCCAGTGGCTTGTCCCATCATCATCACACCAACTAATGAGATCGTCTGCCAAAGCACACCAAGCCCACCAGTACTTCAGCGCAGAGTTCTCGACAAACGCTCCATGCCAGGCTTGACCTGGGTTGCAAATCCACGCGGTTAGACAGGATACATACTGCTACTCCAGTAGTGGCTGTCCCGTGCAGCCCAAACTGCAACACCATTAGCTGACTTCCGGCGAGGTTCCTACCTTACATCGGCGCATCCACACCGCGGTTCGACGCGACTTGACGAGACCTCGAAACCTTCCGCCCGCGACATCAGCAAATAGCACCAGCCTCGTGCAACCCAAGGCGGCTCCCAGCTGCTTGTCACCATTGACGACACAACCCTAGCTATTTTCACCGTGTTGCAAAGGCACGCTGCCTCGATCCAGCAGGGAAACAGAGACATCTTCCCTATGGTCGTACGGATACACTCGACTGTTTGACGAGACGGCATCGAGTGCCGCCATGTGCTGCTGCACCAAACGGACTGCGCTGCGTTGCTCAGGGAGATGCGACGTTAGGACGACCGGGAGGCCATAATGACTGACTGATCACTGATGGGGATCACTTGAGATGGCCGAAACAAAACTCGGGTACTTTATTCATGCATACGCCCCATGTATCGTCATACGAGATTGCCTTGTACCGCTACATGGTGCGAAGTACCTCGAAACTGGTCCACCACGACCGGAATCAGCTTGGGCGATTGCGCCCAATCACTCTCGCCCCCAGCTGACGGTACTCTCTGGACTCCCCAGCCTCCCTTGTGCTTCAACAACTGCTGCTCTCCCCTCTTCCTCTTCAAACCCAGAGGCCAGTCTGTAGCACGTGCTGGAATCATACGGATGCTAACAATAGACGACACAGACTGATTTGACCACCTTAGGAAAACCCTGGTCACCGACTGGCCTCAACAACGGAATGAATGCTCATCCGTTCAAGCTGCTGCTTCAGAGACAACAAGGCGAATGATATCAAGCGGTAGCATCGCCGGCCTATCAACCTATCAGCTATGGATACGGGTGCTGCGCACTTAGCTTCTCTGGAGCTCTATCAATCAATATGCATGCAACAGAACGCCGAGGTCGTCGGCGCATCTCGCTGCATTTCGGCCTCGCCTCTGTGCCTCCGCCTAAGCTCCTCAGTTGGAGGTACGGCGAAGCAGCCAGGCAGTGCAACGCTCTCGGCAGTGAGAGAAGAGTGGGAATACTTTGTCATGCGCAGAAATGTGCGGGCGTCATGTGTACCCCCGAGGCGA